ACACCAACAATCATGAATAATAAAAGTTTATTTAGAAAAATGAATTAGCCTAATTATAAAATGAGAAAATAGTATTTTTATTTCATTTTATTTTCTATCTATCTATATTATTTCTGTTGTTAAAGTAATATTTTTTCCACTGCAAAGCACCCACCGTGTCAAGCAAAGTTACGGACTGTGTGCGTGTGTGTTGTGGATGGCGTTATCCTTGGCACGTCCTGCAGGCATCGACGTTGGGCCTGTCATGTTCACCTTCGCCATGGAAATCTGACAAGATATGGCATCTGCTCTCTCCGTCACCGTATGTTTGTGCATATAGATATTGCATTTTAGGAACGAGGGCCACAGTGGATGGGTTAACACCTCCGCACCTATAATTTTTCACATTCGAGTCGTAAAAAGACAAAACCAGGACATAATATGGCCACTTGATAATGCCAAAGGGGTTTCCACATCGTCTCGACAAAGTGTGTGTGTGTGAAAGAGAGACTGGAGGATAGTCAAAGGATGCCCCAGGGACAATATTAGCTAGAGTTTTCTGTTTATTATTGGGTCATATATTGTTATATTTTAGAAAGAGGTAGGTAATATAAATATACAGGAGAAAGAATAAGGCTTATTCAGGATTCCAGGTACATATATTTAAAATAATTTTCTTTAGAATGGAAGAGAAATCTTTTTGTTTGTTAAATCTTAAGACTTATCCATCTGAATTATAGATTTCCCTTATTATCCTTTAAGTATAGTATAAGGCCTCACCTGGATACCACTTTTAATGGAAACTACAATTTCCCAAAACATCTGAATGATGGCTTACTGTCCCATCACTCAAGTTAATTTTCTTGAGCTCCACAAAAGCAAGTAAAGCTCGTTAAAGAACGCGTAATAAAGTTCTTTTTTGGCCATGACTGTGGCTGGCACTCTGCCGCATCCATAAACTGAAGGTGGCAACTAAGAGTGACGTCATAAATTTTGGCAAGTCCTTAAAGTGGCGGAAATAAAGCCCCTCCTGGACCCCCGCACAGCATTGTCTTGTGGCTAATGAATTTATGTTGCCGCTGTTTCACTTGTTATTTTTGCCGGTTACCATTTTGATGAAGACGACGACTACGACGATGACGATGAAGAAGACGGGGAACCCCATCTTGAACTTTAACCGGGGCAAGTTGATTGTCTTGTACTTGATGACTCTCAGTAGCGAGAAGTTTGTGCAACTGACACTGCGAGAAATTTGGTACTATATTTATATCTTATAAATCTTTTTTCTTTTATTTTCATAATTCTTATATTATTCTCTGTGCTCAGCATACACCATAAAATATAAAAATAGAATTAAGGGCACTGCTGGTCCAGGCTAAATTGAAAATGGTTTCATTAGCAGGGAACCGAGGCAGGAACAAGACCAGAAGAATAACAAGAGCAGGAGCAACAGACCAGAATATCCATCAAAGTTTTGCACTTGGAACCAAGGAAGACACACAGCCAGGACACAGCCAGGGTCCCCAGCTGGCAGACACCTAAGGAGTCTCCTTCAGGAAGTCAAATTATGCAGCATGTGCATGATTGATTAACTTTGAATGGGGCGTTGTTCGTGATTTGGCCAAAAAAAAAAAAAACGAGAAATGAAAATGCAAACGAACGAAGAAAGTAGAAAGTGGAAAGTGGAAAGTGTGGTGAACCCAATAATCTCACAAAAGAATGAAAGGGAAATGTGGCAGGGACACGGACGACTGACACTTAATTAGAGGCACGCCGGAAACGGAAACGGAAACGAGATGCATGGCCATCAAGTGGGTCGTGTGCGCACCGCTGGTGGAAGCCAAGCAATTTGCACGCCAGGATGTGCAAGGTCGCCACGATGTCACTGTGATGTATGCATATTGCATGGCAACATGTCTACGTAGAACTTGAGAGAGCAGTGCCACCGGAATTAAATCTACAGAAATTATCCTTAGACTGTGTAGATAATTGAGCGCAGGTGCTGTCTTTACCTTTAAATGGGATAAGTGATTGATCCTGTTAGAGGTGCAATTTTCGGTTTAATTTATTTTTTTTGCTTTCTTTTTGTTCTTTGGACTCGGAAGGTCGATTAATCAGGTTGTCTTTAGGTCTTGGTTTTTTCTTTACTTGATTTTTAATTTGTTCTTAGAGAGTTGTTTTTCCAGCTCAATGTTTTTGTCAAATTAAATTGGATAAGTGTTAATTTAAAAGGCTCATAAAAATTACATAATAATCATCTATATATTTAATTTAATTATAATATTTCAGAGGCTTTAATTCGATTTGATTTCCACTAACCATTTTCCCTAATGCTTATTGAAGAGTCCCAAAGCGTAGCTCTTTTAAACTTTAACGCCAAATTGAATAAAATTCGTCCCCCTTCCAATATTGAGTTATTGCGAAATTAGAAAATGTCTTCGTATTCGTATTTCGGTATTTTATGCCCACGAGGGAGTTTATTTCCATTTGGCTGTTGCCCAGCTGTTACTGGGTTGCCAGTAAAACATTAAATTGGTAGACAGGAAGCACGAGAAATGTGGGGCGTGATTGGGGTTGTGCTATTTGTTTTTTGTCTTGAAATGTTCATCTGGTTCAGTTGCAGTTCATGTCCTTTTGCATGCTAGGATTTCCTGCTCTTTATATCCTTACGACTTTGAGGATGGGTATTGGTTGTAAGGCTCCTACCTGGATGTGCAATGCAATGCCCAACCATGATAAACAAATTTATTTGGAACATGAAAAGCTTTAAACTTTCCTTTTCCATTTTTTCATTGTATTTTGTAGCCATTTTCCCTAGTTGATTTGTCTGAATTTCGTTAAGCTGGCCTCTAAATCCAACGAATGAGTGGAAAAAATTAGGGGAAGTCCCCCTTTGAAAATGGGGATTTACTGCTGGGTCTCCCTGGCATATTTTCAGCATATTTCGGGTGGACTTTCTATCTCGGCAAGGACATCATAATTGCGGCCACAGTGCAGGAAGTGCACAGGATGGAGCAGAGCAAAGGGGGCGTGGGATAAGAGAAAGACCTGGCGGACGGTGGGGGAGCGATGGAGAAGCGGGATTCCTGTGCATAATTGAAATTCCAGCCTAAACGCGTTTGTAACGGGAAATTGCGCGCGTAGCCGAAAAAGCGAAAAACCGGACGCAAGGATGCGAATGCGGATGTGAAAATGTCCACTCCACAAAAACAGTTTATATTTATATTAAAGTTTTTATTTTTTTTTGTATAAATAATGTCACGCATTTTTGGGGTTAAACGACAAATAAGGAAAACTGAAAGTTTGCATTGCATACATATTTAAAAAATATGTTTAACACATCCCTAAAAAAAGTTAAATCAGTTCTTTCGGACTTTCCATTTAGTTGATTACAATTTAAAGCTTATTTTAATATCTATCAACCATAATAAATGTAATAAATTGCAATAAGTGTTCATAAACAGATAAACCTAACACATTTCCCCAAAATAAAAAGTTCATATATTCCCCAGTTGTAATTTGTTGTGCAAATAATTAATAAAGGCATAAATGAAATACCTTTGGGTGACATTTGGACAAAATCAGCAATGCAAGAAACGTGAGATGTGAGGTGAGGTGAGTGCGACGAAAATGTAATTAATTTCAAGCCAAACAACAATAATTATTGCGTTGCAGCACTTTGCTGCTGTTATTGTAGTGGTAATTACATTTCGTAAACATATTATGCCCGGGGGAAGTCAATTGCCACCCCCAAAACTTAAAACTCCCCAGCAATTGAGTCATTATTATAAAAAAAAAAAAAATTCAAATTTGAATTTCCAAATATGCAAGCAGCTGTTAAGCCAGCGTTGCCACCCTTCCAAGAGAATGAAACATGCGCGCAATTATTGCGCATGCTTGAATTTTCCAGTAAGTTTACTAGTTTTCCATCAGAGTTCGTGTGGGAAATGAGCTGTGATAAGTTGGCCAGTACACGCCGAGCTATCAGACCGCCAAGACGCGCATTTTTCGTGTATTTTAACACACTCCATTTCTTATCAGAGCCAGCCAAGCGCTGTAAGAATAGAAGTTGTCTTGAAGTTAATATACTGCCAAGTGCAATAAACCTAATAGTAATTAAATAAGTAATAATAAAAGCAACTTAAAACTGCCGCGCATTTAATAAACTGAATACAAAAATAAACTGCTTTAAAATTGTTTTAAATTTGAACAGTAACGCACTTTGGCAGCGCTGGCAACCCTGCAGCCGCTCTCTCTACCGTCGCTCTCTCACTCTCTCTCTGCAGTGTTGGATAATGCCGCTCGGCCAGTGTTGCCCAACTCGCGAACGCCGTCTGATTTTTAGCAGCTAAGAAATGATTTGTGTGTGTTTGTTTAATGTTTCTTTCGCGTAAAGGGGCAAAACAAATTAGCAAATACGATGAAAATTAAGTGAAACAAGTGCGGCGACTGTGCGTGCGCAATGCAATACCGCGCGGCGTGCGAGGATCCGGATCCCCAAGTCCCACCGCCCGCGACCGTTCCCCCGCGCCACCCTCCGCAAACAAAACGGTGTGTGTGGTTGTGTCTGTGTGTAGTAAACGCGCCAGGAAATGAGAAATCATAAAAATAAAAGAGATTATGAACGAAATTCGGGCAATGCAAGTGCTTAAGTTAATAACAATATTCTCGTCGATTGATTAACTAAAAGAAACGTGCACAACATGAGCGACAAATAGTGTAAATCGTGCATTGTTGTTGTTGGTTGTTGTTGTTGCTGTTGGAACCCCCGCCTGCACACATAAGCAAGCACGCCCGCTCTCTCACACACACATAAGCAGCCTCCAAATAAAAAAGAAGATTCCCCAAAAAGATATGAAATAAATAATACAATAATAATAATAACAAGAAGCGCAGCCATACGAAATTGTGAATATTATTAATAAATAAGTATAATATACAAGACATCAAGAAAAAAGCAGATAGAAGGGAAATAAATAAAATAAATATACAAATTAAATAATAAAATTTTAAAATAAATATCTTAACAAATAACATAAAAATCAGTTTAATAAGAAGAAAAAGTTCCCCACAAGTTATAATAACTAAAAGAACAAGTAATATAAAACTACTTCGGAACCCAAATGGCAAATTAAGAAATATAAATTAAATAATAATAAATTAATAAGGGTTCCTTTGTGGAAAGTTACCCTACAAAAATCCCAGAAATTGCATCCTAAAATCAGCCATTATTTTGGATTTAAGAATTCTATATAAAAACAAACAAAATGCAGGCCAAAAAGCGTTACATACTGGTCTTTGTATCCTGCGCTTTTTTGGCCTACGCCTACTTCGGGGGCTACAGGCTGAAAGTGTCACCATTGCGACCCCGTAGAGCCCAGCACGAGTCCGCCAAGGATGGCGGAGTGCAACCCCACGAACAGTTGCCAGGATTCCTGGGCTCCCTGGAGCTGCAGGAGCTGCAGCATGTGCAGGGTAATCAATCCCGGAACCCGGAGGATCTCCCCAAATCCAGTAGTATAACTAGCACAAGAAGATACGACTGCCGCATGGAGACCTGCTTTGATTTTACCCGCTGCTACGATCGCTTCCTGGTCTATGTTTATCCACCGGAGCCGCTGAACTCCCTGGGTGCGGCTCCACCCAGCTCCGCCAATTACCAGAAGATTCTCACTGCCATCCAGGAATCGAGGTATCACACCAGCGATCCCACAGCCGCCTGCCTCTTTGTCCTGGGCATTGATACCCTGGACAGGGACCTGCTCTCCGACGACTATGTGCGGAATGTGCCCTCGAGGCTGGCACGGCTGCCGCATTGGAACAATGGGCGGAATCATCTCATCTTCAATCTATATTCGGGCACTTGGCCGGATTATGCGGAGAGTTCGCTGGGCTTTGATGCCGGTGAGGCGATCCTGGCCAAGGCCAGCATGGGTGTACTCCAGCTGAGGCACGGCTTCGATGTCAGCATTCCGCTCTTCCACAAACAGTTCCCGCTGCGAGCCGGAGCCACCGGATCGGTGCAGTCCAATAACTTTCCCGCCAACAAGAAGTATCTGCTGGCCTTTAAAGGCAAACGGTGAGTGTGAAGTTTTTGATTTCTTAATAAATATTAAATCTTAATAATTAACTAATTAAAAAGGTTTTAAACTACATATTAATGGGATTTTTAGAGCCCAAATTAAGGCATTAAATCACCTGTTATATGTACTTTTAACAGAATAATGGCTGGGTTATGAGTGTTAGCTCTAAGTATATAAATTAATATATTTTGTGGGAAAATGTCAAGATTAATCAGCTGACCTTTGGGTGTTTGCGTTTTTATAATTCTTACAAGAAATTTAATCTCTACGTAGCAGTTTGTAAGCTTTTATAATGAAAGTATAAGTACATGCTATATTTTCTTACTTAAAAACTTAAATACCCAATTAGCTACTTTTATATTAGTTGTATAAATTATTTCCGAAGGTATTTGAAGGGAATTTATTTATACGAAAATACACATACAACTATAATCTATTCTTAATTCAATTTTCATATGAAATACCAAAAGTTTTCAACATTTTGCGCTCTGCTTTACACACGAGAAATATTTATACAATTTATATATTTTTGTGAACATTTGAACTTACCAGAAAAATTATGAATAGGGTCTTTGGATCACTTGAGGAATTTTTTTTATAAATGTAGATATACATATACTGTTTCAACATAAAAAAGCAAAATCTTAATGTAAAAAATGAATTTGGAAGTATCTTTTCCTATAATAAGGTTTTAAGAAACAGAACTAAAGATATTGTTAGGAAATGTAGAAGAATCTTAATAAAAAACAAGCAGTTATGAAAATAACTTCGGGAACTGATTAGAACAATTTCAATCAATAAGAATATTGAGCTTTATAAACTTTAAATTATTTTCCTGAGGCAGTCTTTTGATAGAAACACTTAAATGAATATTAAAGGAACGCTAAGAACTTTCAAAACAAGCACTAATAATTCTTTTGCCAATTTAGTCTTGCGGTTATAGAAATAATCCCAAATATCTAGAGAATATAATCGTTAAAACAAAACTGTTTTCAGTGAAGCAAGATGAATCATTTAAGCCTTTGATGTGGGAAAAGTTAATTTATATAAAAGCAACTTTCAGGGCACTAAACAGAATATTTAATACATGTTATAAATTTGAAATATACCAAAGTGATTTCAATAAAAACAAGAGAGGAGAGTGATTAAGGCACTTATAACGATAGTTTTTCCAAGAATCTATAATGGGAAAACCCTTTCAAATGGAGTTACAGGGTAGTCTTTAATTTCGCCACCAAACGGACTAACCCCCATTTGAATCCGTCGTCTGGCTTAGTCAGGCGGCAAATTGCAGGTTGCATCTATCGATGCCAATTCCTATGTTCGCCCTCCGAAAAAAACAAAAACAAAAATCTGAAACAAAAAGCACAGGCAAGGGCCAAAGGAGTGAAAACCCAATCGAAATCCGAAACGTTTCACTATTTCCCCGAGTTTCGAGTTTCCTAGCAGGCCTACACAGTGTTTTTTGTGTTTTTCTTGTTATTTTTGTTGTTCAAAAGAGTCTCCATTCAAATTGAAAAATTGTCTAGCAACGCGTCATTCGTCATGTCCTTCCATATTCCAAGTTGCTCCTGTACCTTTGGTGTGTTGGTTACTATATTTTTTTTTTTTTTTGCTGTTGCCTGCTACTCTTTTGTTTGTCTTTGCTTTATTGTTGTTTACTCGCTTTGTGCCGCCCACAACAACAACAAGTACAACAAAGGCAGCAACAAGGACTAGGATGACGCTTCCTTTGACATGTAACTCGATTCGATACCTGACATCGAGACACGGTGAAAAAATATCGATATTATGATCATAAATGAAATCGATAAATATGAAGAGTATAGGATATCTTAGAAATATATAAAAACATTACTTTAAACGCTTAATATTCACACTTGTTAAATATTTCACTAAATAAATATAATATAAATCCTAAAAATACAAACTTTAATAGTTAAATAAAACCTTTTTATTAAACTCTGTATATTTCTTAAAACTTTAAAATAGTTATTTAATTTTTTTCTGTGCATTTTGAAGCCTCTTTTCGCCTGACCTTTGTCCTGTTAATGTGTGTATGGTGTGTGTAGGTGGGTTGGCATGACTGTCTATGGCTAGAAACTCCTCCGCATCTCACCTGGTACACACGTGGCGACATGAGCTCATTGTGTCCTAATTTAAAATTGATTTTCGCCCTTCGATAGTGAGGCATGAGGAACAACTTCAAATATATCTATGGAAATTCCATGAGGACACATTTCATTAAGCTAAGTGCTGGCCAACAGCAATTAACACTCTGGCAATTAATATTGTACAAGTAATGGAGTGGCACTTAAAAAAATATAGATACACATACATTCCAAAGTCATTAGGGAGTTGAAATATAAGGAAAGAAAAGTAAAGAAAGATTTGCTTTCAAGATTTGAGGTTTTATTTAAGAGATATTAGGAATCTTTAAGATAATCAGAAGTCCAGAAGTAATATGAAATCGATACTTCTGTTATGAATAAACTTAAAGAGTTCAACAAACAGACAAATATAACGACTCACCGATTCTTTAATGCTAATTAAATAATCAAAAGGTGCGAGAAAAAACCACAAAACCATGGACTGACTTCAAACCACAAGCACCTTGATAATTATTAAAAATATCTAATACCCCAAATGGTTTATCTTTTGTGGCTTTGCCAAAGCGTTTCCGGTAGAAACCATCTTTGGGGAAACCGACTGCAGCAACTGCAAAATCAACAAACATTCAACATGGTTGAGTACGATGAAAATGTTCGAGGCTACGCAAAAGTGATGTTAAAGTTGTTAACAACACATACACACACCCACAGCCACACACACACTCACATGATGAGTGGGAGGGTTAAATCCCCCTTATCATTCCCCTTTTTCCCCTCTTTTTGTGCAAACAATTAAAAGCGAAAGGAACGACACATGCCAGGCCACTTTACAATTATGCGTCCAAATACCAATACAGTGGGAAAGAAAGGGGATGAGAACTTAAAAAATAATTCTACACTTAAAAATATATATTTGAGACATCAAATTGATTTAAGAAATTAAAGAAATGGTTGAAAAATATAGAAGAAACAAAGAATTTATTTATCTAAAATAATGCCACACAAATGAGATACTTTCTGTGCCAATGTGATCGAGCGAAACCGTCGAAAAGAAGCCTTATCCAACTTCCCATATATCCCAAGGCCGCTTGCCAGCGAAAAGCACCCACAGTCACCCATAACCACCCACAAGCACCCACATTTACATACCCCGTCGCCTGGACATCCTTTGTGGCTTCACTTCCCTGCGAAAACTGTTGGAAAAGTTTTCTTTCCCGGTTTAATTGCTGCTAGCTCTCGTCCGTACTTCGTGTGTGAGAATTGCGGGGAAAAGTGTGGGGAAAACTGGGGGAAAAATATAAGCGAAAAGGGCGGGAAAATGTAAGCGAAAGGGAAGGTAGGAAAAAATGGAAAGTGTGTGTTTCTGGGGCCTAGAGTTAATCTGTGGTCTGCATTTGACATTCTTTTAGCTTTCGCTTCGTGACCAATATTTGTATATATAATCGATGCCTTAAACAGGTTCCACAGAGATCATTAATATGGCTAGCTAAAAAAATAAAGTGAAACCAATCATTGGCATTAATAAAGCCAAAACTAATCGATAAAGTCTGCCAATCTTTTGACAGTCAACGGAAATGTTTGAGTTGGTCAAAGCTTTGAATAAAACTTTTTAATAATTAGCGTGAAGGTCTTGACATATTTGATAATTTTTTATAATTGACAGTATTAAAAATCATAATTTAAATAATTTCTTAATCCACTCTTCCCCCCAAATACACATCTAATAAGCAGAGAACAGCACAATTTCTATTGACTAAGGAATTCGGCAGAAATTTCGGAGGGGAATTCACCAGGGGAAGCACACACAGAATCAACTTGGAAACTTTTTGTTTTTCTTTTTACACCCAAGCAAAAGAATGAACAAAATGTGTAACCTTTTCCCAGGTGCCAATGTCTTCGTTTTGCACGTTCTTGGCTACGTTTTTATTAACCTTTCATATTCCCCTTGATGGTGTGCGAAACTCATATGCTCTGGAAATATTGTATATTGTGTATACACACACACTCATTTCCGCCGCTATCTATAAGTTCTGAGTTTTTGTGACAATTGTTCACCGCTTAACAGAGAGGGGAAGGTTTTTATGAGTGACTTTTCGCAATTAGAGGAAAAACTTCATCCTGCTGCCAGCAAGCAATTCACCTCGAAGGACCCGGCAAGTTGTGCTCATAATTTGGTTTCCTCCAATTAGCAGTGAGAGAGAGGGGGAGAGGAAAAAGAAAAGCGACGAGGACATTTGCAACTCACTTGGCATTGGCAATTATTTATTATTACTTTTACCCCAACTTGTGCTGCATTGGGTGGGTTGAGCTTGTTGTTCTGCAAAAGCTATTTTTTTGATTGACTAAAAGCCAACATCTATATGTGGCTTAGAGCACTGAAAGAAAACAAAGTATTTAAGCAAAATCTTGATCATTATAAATCAGTGAATGTCTCTTAAAGTTTCTTCTGCGGTTTGTGTTAAATTTAAAGAAATTTTGACAAATTGAAAGGACTCTGTAGCAAAAATCAAGCGTATTATATTAAAAGTTCCTTTGTAAAATCTAAAAAAGTACCTTGTAGAAAGAGTAGATATATATATTCGAAACCAAATCATATTGGAACGTGTTCCTTGGCTTTATCTATATAAATTTTTTGAAAAGTGAACTTTTGATATTTGAAATTCGCTGCACATGTCCATCCATTGCTCTGAGGGATATAGTAGTTGGATGCTGGCTTTAGCTATTGCTGGTTTTAGTTAGCTTTGAGTTTCATTTGGTTTGGGATTTGACCGTGGATGTCGATGTGGATTTGGTTGTCGGTTTGGAATGGATGTTGAATGTTCTACATTGGACACTGGACTTGGGGGGGGGGAGCTGGATGTTAACGTTGTTGCCCAAACATGCGT